GAGCTTTGAGGTCAACCCACAGAGGACCTGCCCCTAGAACGGGCCCTGCAGGAGCGGCTGCCCTCTGATGGCAGTAATGCAACATGTTGTCACTGCAACAGCTCCAAGAGTTGCACACACCAAGCAGCTGCAAATGGGCAGGTGCGGGGGGACCTTGGAATCCACGTGCTTCCCAGGGCCTCTGGGACGTCACAGCGTCCACCTGCTGAAAACCCTTTCCACGCCCTTTACTGCCCCTCAGTGCCTCCTCCTAAAGCTGGGTGTCCCTGTTCCTGTGTGACAACGTGGTGTCCTTTGTATGCCATGTGATGCCAGGACCAGTCCACGTGTGTGGTGGGGGAGGGACTGGGGCTCAGGTGTCCAGCAGGTGCCAGAGCCAGAGTCTCAAGGACTCTGGTGCCTCATCCAGCTCTGTCCCTGTACCTTTGACCTCAGCCTCAGCGCCACCTAAAGGCACCATCCTGCCCTCATCTGTTTCATCAGCTCCAAAACCAGTTTGCAGGGAGACAGTTCATCCGTGGTGGTCGTAGACCAGAGGCTTCTCCCTCCCGCAGGCTCCCCGGGCCGGGGCCCCTACCTGTCCATGGACTCCAGCGTGCTGTCCAGGCTCCCCAGGTGCTCCGGGATGGGCAGCAGGGTCTTCCCCTTGATCTTGCCCCCCATCACAAACATCTCGTTCTTCAGCTTGTGCACCTGCTTCACGACATCTTCCGAGACCACACGGGGCCACCCGCTCATGTTTTCGCTTTGGTTAAACAGAGAATACAGGACCTGAAAGGAAAGGATTCTGGCAGCTCTGCCCACGCCTTCTCACCTGGGTGACACGCAGGAGGATGGGGGGCCCTGGGCGTCTGGGTCCTGGGGGAACCGAGTCCTTCTCCCACTGCAGAAAGACGGGGGGGTCATCTCAACCGTTCAGATGCCAAGACCAGGGATGACAGCCCAGCCCCCATGCCTCTGTCGTGACAAAACCCTCTCCAGGGAGACCCTGACCATGACAGCGCGCACTCCTGGCTGAGAGCAGACGCTCCGTGCCGCCTGGGCGTGCTGTTGCAGGCTGAACGGTGCTCCCCCCAGTTCAAGTGTGGGAGCCCTGACCCCAGCACCTTGGGATGTGACTACATGTGGACAGAGGGCCTTTCAGGAGGTGATTAAGTGGGCCCTGACCCAACATAATTGTTGACCTTACAAGGAGAGGATAAGACACAGACATGCATCGTGGGAAGACAAGGCCACGTGAACTTGGCCGTCTACATGCTAAGGAGAGAGGCCTCGGAAGGGACCAGCCCTGCCTGCACCTTGATCTGGGCCTGGCAGCTCCCAGACGCAGCCCCAGCAGAGCAAGCTGGATGCTCATGTGCTCCAGCTCCGGCCTGCCAGCCTTCTCCTGAGATGCCAGGGCAGGCTGGCCTAGGGCCTGGCTGAGCAGACCCTGTGGCCCGAGTTCGCATGAGCAGGGGATGCACACTCCCATTTCACAGATGAGGAGAAAGATCACTCAGAAAGCTAAGTCACTGAGCTCCGGCTGGTCCTGGGAGAAGGGAGGAGGCAGGACAGCAGAGAGACAGCGCCTGCTTTTCCTCTTTCTTGACTCAAAGTCTCAGTATTGGGAAGCCGGTTTCCTGGAACTTGGAATGGCCCACACCTTCGGAGGCTACAGGTAGGGCTGTACCCAGAGCAGTACGAAGGTTCTAAGGGTGTCGAGAGAGGACAGGTGGTGGCTGAGGCCTCTCAGCCTGCAGGTGCACAGCTCACTGGAGGTCTTGTTAGAGAGCGGGTCTGTCTCAGCCAGTGGGGTGGCCGGCCCTGAGCTCTTACAGGTCTAACCGGCTCCCAGGTGATGCTCTGAGCAGCAGGGCTCTCGGACACTCACGGAAAATACGAGAAACAGACGTTGCTGCTATGAGCCCTCACCCGCCCCGTAAGGCCTGCTGCACCCACCTCCTCCACGACGGCGATGAGCTGGTCCACGGGCGCGGGGCTGATGTCCCCGTAGACCAGGCAGTCCCTGTAGTTGTCCTTGCTGACCTGCTCGGGCTTCTGCTTGATGAAGTACAGCCCCTTGGACTTGAGGGAGGCCGGGAAGCCCAGGCAGGGCACGACCATGCCGGCGGGGCTCAGCGTCAGCACCAGAACCGAGACGTCGGGCTTCTCGAAGAACTCGGTGAACAGAGCCATGTTCTCCTCCACTCCGACCATTTTATTCCACTTGTCCGGCTTGAACTTGAGGATGGTTGAAGCCACTCCCTCCAGATACTCCAGTCTGACGTCCGGTGTGACCGTCATCCTGAAGTTTTCTCACACCTGTTGAAGAAGCAGCCTGTCCCTGGGGGTCTCCGCTCCCCCGACCCCTGGGGCCACTTGAAATCCCTGTTCCGACCGAACAAGAGAAGAAGAGGCTCATGGTGAATACATTGGTTTTGGCTGTGGGTGGGATAGGGGTGGGACCAGAGGCTCGCGTCCGTCTGCTGCGGCTGGACGGCTACGTGCTGTCCCGCTGTGGGCTGTCACCGTGGTGCAGAGCCTCGCAGCCGTGGTGTGTGCCTGTGTTAGTTGTGACCATGAAGTTTATAGGCTGCAGAAAAGGGGGAAAGGATCGCAGCAAGATAGTCTGCAGGTGTCGGGGTGAAGAAAGGCAAAACGAGGAAAGAAGATTCAGGCTGAAAAGCCCCAGGGAGGTGATACAGACCCCTAGGAAGCGGGCCGAACTCAGACAGGAGTGGGTGGACCCGACACCCAGGTGTAAAGTTCATCCCGCTCCCCTTGTCCTCACCCCAGCCAGGGTACCCCTTGGCCCAGCCCTCCCTTCTACCCTCCTGTCCCCCATCATGTGCCCATAAAGGGATCCCCACGGACCCCTCAGAAAGCTGTTCACACCCCCCCGGGGAGACCCCCTCATGGCCCTCCCCGTAGGGGCAGGGTTAACTGGAGAGTTGGGGGGATCTCCTTGAAGCCCCCAAAAGCCAGGATGAAGGAGGCATTTCCTGCAGGCACAAAATTTAAAGGGATGCCCAAAATCTCAGTGATCAAGACAAATGGTATCTTAGTATTTTTAACTAGCAAAATCAGTGCAAATTCATGATGAACAAAACAACAAAATTCCAAATAAAGACAGGCTCTGCTGAGAGGACTAGGGGAGGTAAGGGAGTGGGTTCTGCAGGGCTGGACCCGTCTTTGCTCGGTTGCATGAACTTTTGAAGCTGATGCTGGCTTTTATTAATTACAGCCTAGGAGGCAGGCAGCTCCTAGATTTCTGGGGGAGCCTGGGGAGGCTCGGCTTTTTGGGGGGCCTGGGGACCACGGGTGACTGGGAGGGACAGCCCAGCAGCTGTCACTGCTCCAGCACAACGCTTAGGAGCTTTCTCCTGCTGCAGACCCGCCGGTGGCGCCACGCTTGTGCCTGGCGGACTCACAGAGTCCAGCTTTTGTTTGACCGTAGCTACTGCTTTTGAAAGGGTTCCGCTCTGCAGTCCCCCACACGCCACAAACATTTCATCCTGTCCACTGTGTTACAGCTCTATGACCAGAGGCAGTGGCCTAATGCGGGTTATTCCCACGGTCTGGGATTTGTTCAGAGCGTCACATTTCTCTGTGAGAAAACTTGGGGAAAACAGATACCATGACCCACAGGAGCTCTGGTGTCCAGTGAGTGAAGCCCACCTGCCGCTGGCACGTCTGGGAATGAGGAGGGACACACCAGTCACCTCTGCATTTATGGAGCCCCGACTGTGTACCAGGCACCCCTAAGAGATTTGCACATGCTGCCAAACGTCCCCCCACGGGCTGTCTGAGCCAACATCGCTGTCCTCATCCTACAGACGAGGGAGCAGGGATGCAGGGGGAGCCTGAGGACTTCGAGGTTCGCCAGGCGTGACTTTAAGGGGGCATGCTCTGGCGCACTGGCTTTGTAGATGAGGCTCCTACAAAATCAGCTTTTCTTCCAAGCATGGTGCCGGGTGGGCTCCCTCCTGAGCACGTGGCCTGAGAGGCCCCAATGCCCCCCAGGTCTCTCTCCTAATTGGCTGCTCTTACTCAAATCCCCATCCAGCCAGATGTTGGGGGCAGGCCAGGAGGTCCCAGTTAATAGCGTGGTCCCATGACGACAGTTCTGGAGGAGGGCAAATACGGCCGTGTGGGGGCACGGGGACCACTTCTTGAGAAGGTGGCCCTACGCTGGGCCCTTGGGACTTCCCAGGAGAAGCCAGGGTTGGGAGCTCTGGGGGAAGTCAGTGGGCTGAGAGTAGTCTGGAGTGAGGACACCAGGGAGACAGACCTCGGGGAGGGGCCTGGCCAGCTGTGGGCAGACCCCTGAGCAGCCCCAAGCAGGGAGCAGAGCACCCTCCACCGAGGCCTGGGGCCCACCTCTGCCCTCTGGAGCCACTGCAGCCTTGCCTCCAAGCACCCCGAGACAACTCACGGCCAGGTAACAGCCGCCCCAGCAGTGAGCAGAGCCAAGTGATGGGCAGCTTCTCCCCAGACCAGTAACAGAGATGGCTCCCTTCCCTCGAGGGGCACCAACTGCCACGGAACTTCTGCAAGTTCCCCTGGGGCTTCTGGAACCTTCTCCTCAAGGCTGAGTGACCAGTGGGCAGCACAGCAAGTGAACAACGGTCCATTACCTGCCACGGCGGAAAGGCTCTTGGATTGAACACACTTTGCCTTTGAAACCAGAGCATTTCATTTCATTTCATGAAATTACTAATATATTGGGATTTAAATCTATTTTCTTCAGTGCTTGTCAAAAGCCTCTTCTAGATGCCCTTTCCTTTCCTGCCTTCTAGATTAAATAATAATTATTTCATCCCTTCCCTATTACCTTCGTTTTTATATACCTTTCATCTTTCAGAGTCACACGCATCCTGGCTCACCCTAGTATAATACTCATTGCAACCTGATAATGAAATTCAGAAAGCAATTCCTGTCTACAACAGAATCAAAACAACTCCACTTACAACAGCAGCAGCGAGAATACTTAGGAATAAATTACTTTACAAAGAAGCGCAAGACTTATGCACTGGAGACAACACATCATTAGAAACTGAAGACAAATACATGGCCGGACGTCCCACGTCCATGGATCGGAAACCTTAGTATTGTTCAGACGACAATTCAAGTCAATCTACAGGCTTAACAAAACCCCTGTCAAAATCCCAGCTCCCTTTTCGCAGAAGTGGAAAAGCTGCTTCTCAATTTCGTAGGGAACCACGAGGGACCAAGCCAACAGCCAGAACAATCTTGAAAAAGAACAAAGTTGGAAGACTCTCAATTCTCAATTTCAAAACTTGCTACAAAGCTACATAATCAAGACCGAGGGCTGTTGCCCTAAGGGCAGGCGTATGGATCAATGGAATAGCATTGAGAGACCAGAAAGAAACACACACGTTCATGGGCAACTGATTTTAGACAAGGATGTGAAGCCGATTCAATGAGGGAAAGCAGGGTGTTCTCAGCAAACTGTGTATGAGAGCACATGCAACGGAATGAAGATGGATCCTTACCTCACATCACCTACAAAAATTAACCAAAAATGGATCAAAGACCAAAATGTAAGATCTCAAATTATAAAACTCTTTAGAATAAAGCATAGAAGTAGATTGTCACAACTTTGAATAAACCAGCGGTTTCTGACATGTGACACCAAAAGCATAAGTAACCAAAGAAAAGGCTGAATTCGACATCATCAGAATTAAAAACTTCTGTGCTTCAGAGGACACTGTGAAGAAACGAAAAACCCCCCGGAGTGAGAAAAATGTTTGCAAATCGTATCTGACAAGAGATGTACATTCAGAATATATACAGAATGCACAACACAACAATAAAAACAAACAACAAATTAAAAGTGGGTAACGAATGTAGATGTTTCTCCAAGAAATGTGCCCGTGACCGACAAGTCTTGGGCCCCCACCCTCAACCCCGATAAAAGCAGAGCCCCAGGCATGCCTCCCACTACCTCCCACAGCCTCACCGCGTGGCCCCTGATGTGCTGTGTAATTTCCAGGTCTTGTAATAAACTCTTTTTTGGGGGGGGTAATTAGGTTTATTTATTTTTAAAGGGACTTGGGATTGAACCCAGGATCCCATGCATGCTAAGCATAAACATCCCATACCCTCCCCACCATAGACTTCTAATTCTTTCAAGGTTTCCAGATGGTGATTGCTGATAAAGCTTTTTAGCCCAGTATTTTAGCCTTTGTGGGTGGGGCGGGGGGTAATTGGGTTTATTTACTTTTTTAATGGCAGTAGTGGGAATTGAACCCAGGACCTCGTGCATGCTAAGCATACGCTCCGCCCCTGAGCTGCACCCTCCCCACCGCACCGCACCCCACCCCCCATCATTACCGCTGAAGGACACCTTGTAATCACAGTGAGAACCACAAGGACCTACCCAGCCGAGACCCTGGTTATTGATAGACTAAGACCAGCACAAAACGGTGCATTTTACCACACACACAAGTCCACACTTCACTATGAAACCCAGGCTTTCCCTCTAGATTTGCGCCATCCCCTCCACATCCCAGCCATCCGCACTCACACAGGAGCCTGGGGTCTAGGACGCTGTCAGATGGTATTCTCTGCATCCTCACTCCCCGCCTACCCTAGGGGACTTCAGTGTCCACAGAGATGACCTCATTGCTCCTGGCTCCTTGGCTGCCTCAGTTGCTCCCCGCACATCCACACCCTGCTTTAACCGGCCCCTCCAGCTCCTGGGCTGCCTCTGCTGGTCCCCTCCATCATCCCCCCACTATCCTCTCCTCTCCTCCCTCCGGGATTCCCAGGGACATTGTGTATACCACTCCTGCTCTGACCTCACCCTCCACAGTAACACTGACCATCCCCCTCTGCTGGACTGGTGCCCACGCTCAGGGCTGCCGGGGGTGGGGCGGAGTCACACCTGTACACTTACCTGGTCCACACACTGCCTGGCTCGCTCCTGGGTGGTTGGGTTTTTGGGTTTTTCCTCCCTCCAATTAAATGTTTTATGTCAGCGCACTCTACTGTGCTCCAGGACAGCTCCTCTGAGTCTTGATTTTTCTCATGTCCCTGACCTTTCCCCTCCCCTTGGCAGACGACCACACCTTTCACCTCAGGAAGAAAACAGAAGCCACTGGAAGCAACTTTGTAAACTGTCCACGACCAAACCTGCGGAAACAGGTGGCAGCCCTGCCTCGTGTAGGTCTCCCCTTCCACGGTGCCCCGGGCCCCCCTCCTCCTGCCCGTCTGTCTTTGAACCTCTCCTTTTCTGCCATCATCTCTGAAACAGGAGTGAGCCACTACATCTTAGAGGAAAGTCCTGCTCCAGCTCACCCTGCAACTCCATCTCCATTCCCTCG